ATGATTTAATCTAATTGTTTTTGTTAATTATATTTATTATTTTAATATATTGTCTATATGTCTTAATTAGGAAAGAGAATTAGTGGTTTCCATAATTATTTTAGTGATTTAGTATAATCTATTTTTTAACTAAATTGTGATTGCTTAATGGAGAGGGGGTGAATAAGAAGTATTTAACTATATTACCATGTTAATCCAAGAATTGTTCTTCAATAAATATAACGGCCGAATCAAAATATTTAATAAATAAGAACCATATAGGTAACTAAAAAATTTACGCATGCGCAAAGATTTAAAAATTAACATGGTAATATATGCAAAAAATTATTGTTATACTAAATAATTATCTAGATTAGAAGATTAAACATCTCGAGCAAATTATTGGACATATTCAATGTTATATGTGAAAAAATAGTTGTTCATTAATAAAAATTACAGCGTATGCATATGGAAGATATCTTCCTTTGCACAAATCCACAATTTTGTATTCTAATTTATCAATATTCACTACGGTTCTCTCAAAAAATGATTGGTTGTCTTTTTTCTTGCATCAAATACGTTTGTAAAAAAAATCTATTGATCAAACAAATTGTAGTATGTTTTGGTTCTACCGAGACATCTGCATTATCTCAACAGAGATGTTGGCATGTATCTTTGTATTTTATTTCGTTAGAACCTTAAATTGTAAAAAAAAAATAATTGATGTTTGATTATATTTTTTTGTCTCACTCTTTTTATCGCTTTTCTACGATTTTTATTTTTCATATCTTTATTTGTGAATTATTATGTTTTTTGGATTCACAATTTGTTGAGAAGTAAGATTTCCTTTCGAGAGTATTGGTTAGGAGATAACTGCAACTTTAGCATCTAACAACCTTTTTTTTAGCAAAAAAAATCTTTAAATTCCTAAAATCACTAATTAATTTTCTCACACTATTTTTTTTTTAATGTTACGATTTTTTATTAAAACTTTTTGTGATTTTTTATTTTAAAATCGTAGTTACCTATCTGAAGTTTTAAATGTTTTGTATAGTATATTGTTGGGTTTAATAAAATATATATTTTCAACCGTTAGAAGTTGACAATAACACATTTAATTTGAAATTATAATTTTTGGTGGATATCAAAGAGAGAGAAAACCTAAAATTCATCTTTATGTTACACTTTAATTTTTGAAATTAACTTACATTAACGTAGCTATTAAATTGTAGGAATTAATTGTTTAAGTTATTAAAAACACTTAACTTTTTTTCCAATAT